TCCCCTTCAATAACCCTTATAATTGTAACCCCCTTTAATAAGGAGTTTAGGCTATGGCTCATATACACGTCGGGGGGGCCAAGTTGACAGACCACCTAGTTTAGGGTTTAGGGCTTCAGGGCAGGGATCCATGGCAGTCATATTCAGCATAGTAGGCCCTAGAGCAACCACTTGGATAGCAGAATTTGCTCCCCCAAGTGAGGAGAATTGGAGTCAAACACCTGTATCCTACAGATTTCCCTGTACAAAAACGGCCCATAAAATCATTGAACATTTGCTCACAGAGAACCTGCGCAGAAAATCCTGTGCTGACCAACCTTTTTTTGGAGCAAACCGAAGAAGAACCTGTTGGGGTTTATGGGCTTTGGGTTGAAGTGTAACATACTCATCTTCATGGGATGTGGACATGGCAGTTTTCCGAGAAGTATCGTCTCCTTGTGTACCCTCAAAAACACTATGATCCTTATCATAGCTACCCTCCAAAATGGAACCCCTAATGTTTGCAAAGTTTCTCAGAATTGGGACAAGGGACTATGATATTTCGGGGTTTATATTGGGGTCCTGCTACTTTGGGAAACTGCCAAATGTTATTTCCCCAATAACCTGTATAGGGGTTTTACTCAGGGACACACTGGATCCTCACTGGTGATCCAGGGTTTAGGATTTGGGGTTTAGGGCTTTGGGTGTTGTCAGCTTTGCTTTTGAAAGGGTGTTTTATTTTTACGTATAGCCCAATAATGCAAACTCAAATGGAACAAGACAATCAGAAATATACGCTAGGACCTGTAGGGATATATAGGGATTGAGGGCGTAGTGGTTGAAAGCCAATAACAATTAATTGAAACCCAAATCAGGGGACTTACGGGGGGTGTAACTGGTTATCAGCGAAATACAAATACGAAGATTGGGCTATAAGTGCCCACCCTAACACCTGAACCCTCCAAGCAAACCTGCAACTTTAAACCCCAAACCCTAAACCCACTGCTGTCGAACGTCCCCTCCATGGGCCCCTCTAGTACCGTTTTCCTTGAGATCCGTCCCACCAACATCTTGCGCCCGAAGGCTGTGATCATCTCCAACCGGAAACTGGCATGTCACTACTCAAGCTCATAAGCTCAGTAACCCTGTAAGCCCTTAACCCCTGAAGCTGTAAACCCATTCAACCCTAGATCCCCTAAGCCCCTAGAAGACCCTGCAGTGTTGACGGAGCCGGAGCCCAAAAAGTTGGTCCACCAAGAAGTCGACCGACGGTGCAACAACCTGGCTCCCAAACCCGATGTAAGGGTTAAGGAGTTAAGTGGTTAAGGGTTAGAGGTCCAGAGAGGGAGGGATTTAGAGATTTAGGATCTCAGGGATTTAGGAGTTCCGGGATTTAGGACTTGACGTAAGGTTTAGGGCTGAAGCTTGAGGGATGATAAGGTTCAAGCCTAGTTTAGGGCAAGGGCAAAGATTTAGGAATGATAAGAAAATTGAGCCTAAGGCCGGGGGCTCGGTTCAAGTTGAGTGCTTCAAGGCAGGTTATAGGGTTTAGGGTTTAGGGCGTAACGTTTGGGGTTTAAGTCTGCAGGTTTAGTGGAACATGCGGAAAAGGGGTGTGCTGCAGGGTCGAAACCTCCCAAGGTATCATAGCTTTGGACCTATAGGATTCCATAGATCCCTTGGCAGAGATCGTTGGGAATCCAAGGGATACATAAGGAATAGGAAGGTCATAAGAACCTAGAAGCATAGGGTCCTTTAAGATCGTTGTGGGAAGCTCCCCTCACATCGAGTATATACAACCAGAATCTGATTAGGATATCAATCCTGTTGACGATTCCGACGCCGCACCATGCTTTGCTCCCAACTTGTTTTGCAGCTCATGTTGGGCACGTATGGGCACGTAAAATGTCATTGTTCACGCAAAGAAACTACAACTGGGTTTGAGTGTTGAACCACACGCAAGGCGAACAGGGAGATTAGGGTGGCTAAGAATCCTACGGATTGGTCGTGTGCCATGGTATCTATGATTTTCTTCGTGTGATGCTCCAAGCTCTGTGCACCTGGACAGCTAGCAAGAATAGGCATGTACATTACACAGCACGAATGCTATCTAGAACCGTAACCATAAGGGGCATAGGTTATAACCTGGTTGCCGCTTCAGGGTTTCCTACCTGGCTTAAGAAAGGTCACGAAGCATAACCATGCCAGTGCTAGCACCATTGCAAGCGAACAGAAATGCATGCTTAACTCGCAATCCGCGACACAATCGATCTCATTAAAAAGTGACAAAGCACAGGCTGTCTTTCATTTTGGCTCCTGTCCCCTTGAAAGACCACACCCAGTACAATGTACAACCGAAGCATCTGGAGGATTCTTTCAGCAATGTGGTTACCTCTGGATTCGCTCATCCTACTGCAAGTTGCCCTTGCGTCGTTCTGCTGGAGCACGGGCCTTTCTTAGCACGACAGCGTTGGGCCAGCAGCTGCATGGAAAGGAAGCAGCTTGAAGCACGAAACATATGAAACTGGGTTGGCAAACGTAGTGCGCATGTAACTGTGGGAGGACGAATATGGCTTGGTCCTGTGCACCTCCATGCTGCTCCCCTTCCGTGGTGACTGGATGGTGAAACTTTGTTTTAAACAGCATTACTCCTGGATGCGTTGTCCAAGGGGGATTTCATGCAAGCAGACTGGCAACAAGCCACCTCTAGCATCGTAACGGAGCAACTATGCACTGTCATCCAAACCGCCCTGTATGAAATCCGGAAGATTCGTGGTGAAGGAGTTGCGCATCAGCCGCCAGAAACTTATCGAGATTGGCCTTCATACATCTAGAATTAGATACGCGCGGCAACTCAACCTCCACCACGCCCGGCCACGTGATTGGCCGTAAGGCGCTGCGTGAGCTGTTGTAGCTTCGCGTAGCGCCGCCTCGCCACGTCACGAAATTCCTCTCCAAACTCTACAAGGCACTCAACGTTGATCTCGCGCCAGTGTGGGAGCTCATTGGAGATGTGCTCCACTTCCATGCGCTGCTCCTGGCATCCGAGATGCCGCAGCAACCTGGAGTTCAGCCTTTCCGGCCGTGCTTTGACAATTATGCTGCCTGGGTCACCGGGACCAACGCCCATAGCTACAGTGAGCGGACCGTCGCCACTTGAACCTGGCCTCCATGTGAAAACGCCAAGCCTCATGACTTCGTTTGCTGTCTCTGCGTCGGCTTCAATCAATTGCTTCACTTGTTCCCTCGTGACATGAAGGCCTTTCAGCAGATCCTCATCATCAAGCCCCGAAGCGTCCGTCAACAGGTCCACGTGCCCAGCCAAAATCTTGACTGCCTGTACGAGCCCAGCTGCAGGCAGGGGCTGAGCTGCAGGCGTGGCCGGCGCTGCTGTTTCGATCGTAGCAGCTGCTGTTGCACCGCACCTGGGGCGTACGTAAGCAAAACCGAAACCCCGTAAACAGTTGCTTATCAAAAAGTTTGTTACCACTGAGTGTTGCTCTTATCGCTTCTTTAAACTTTGCAGCTGCTGAAGACCTGAATGCCTGGTCAAATAGCGAAAGCTAGTCCAAAGCCCCAGTACCAATGTATATCAATCCCTCAACCCATAACCGCTTATTGCATGAGCTCAACTTCCCAGAGCTGTGCTATGAATGTCCTGAACAGCTGCATGAAAGCAGCATTTCCGCTGAAGGATGTTATCGGTTTTGCTATGCTTCCTGTTGTCTTCGCGCTTCAGGAACATTCGTTAAGCCTTCGCCTCCCACCTTGTTTCATGAAGCCGGAGGCTCCAGCCAAGCCCTTGGATGCCGAAAATCCCAACGTTCATGCCACAATGGCTACATCGCGCTCGGGCGCAGGGGCGACACAAGCGCACCATGGCGCTTGATCTGACAAATTTCCAGCCTTGTAAAGTAAAGCTGCAGCAATCGACTCAACCGATCCAGATGGACAGTCTGTTCAATGCCTGACGCTCTGAAACTGCCGCTTCAAGCCGCGCGCAAGCACCTCTGTGATCTTCTGAAGGGCTGCTGCGGCAGACCTCCGAGGCGGCTTCGTAACCTTAGAGGGATTTGCAAAGATGCGTCGAGCGGAGGTAGGAGCCTGGACCCTTCACAACACAGGCACGCACGAAAGTGTTGCAAGATCCCCCCCCCCCCAGCCCCCCCCAGTCCGCATCGGCTAATGGCTCTCATACGTAGCATGGACACTTATCCGAGAGGCTGAAGCTGAGTCTCGAACCACCATCTCAGAGTTCTTGGCCACAACACGTCCTTGGATCAAACCCACGGAAGGGACTTTTAGACAATGCAGGCAGAAGCTATAGGGATTGGCAGTGAGTTCTCACGGTTTTTCCTTGGATAGCAGACTGTGGAAGAGAGCCGTTTAAACCCACAACTAACTAATTTGCGTGGGAGATCACGAACTACGAACTTATGGCTAAAGCAGTCTGCAAGCCTGCTGCCTCCTTATAGGGCTACCACTTGAGTCCGACATCCATCTCGTTCTGATCCGGTATGGAAACTTGGAGCCTGAGGTGTGCTAAGTATAGAAACCCTAACCCCTAAACAGTAGCTTCCATGTCCTTCTCCCCTATCCCTAGATTACCCCTATATAACCCAACATTGTAATGGCTATAAGCTGACAACAAAGGCGTGGGCCAGGCTCCGTGTCTGCAGCGGCAAATCCAGGCTCTACAGTACCAGCTACCAAGTGTGATCAAGTCCAGCTGCTTGCCATGACATCAGCAAAAAGTGGTAGATGAGCAAGAAACCTGGCAAAACCAGGACCTGGCAACCCATAATGACACCCACAACACTTGCCCATACAATTACCCAGTCCCCTGGCGTTACAAGCAATGCGGACAGAAACTACGACAGCCCTCCCAGCCCCACCTTGAATCTGCAACCCGTGCAAACATCTTCGGCTGACCCTAGGCCAACGAAAGCTTGGGCACTGTGGGAAGATCCAAGAAGCGATACCCTGAACCATGTGCAGCTTATGTACCTTTTTGACATATGGAATACGGTGCTGTGTGCCCTTGCTTCTGAATTCCTCTATTTGAGCCTCGTACTGTTTTCACATCATGGTACGCACGCTCCTGCGGGAATTTACGTGAGGCAACCCCAACCGACGAGGCGTCAATGCTTTTTTCAGACGAGGATCTCGCACGCGACCAAATTTCGGAACGTTGCCCGAACAGGTCGAAAATGGTCGTCGTCCACCACAGCATGTTGATGTACCTTCCAAATGATTATTTCCGGACCCGAGAAATTTCTCTGTTGGAATGGAATACAAACTAATCCGCGTTGAAACTGTTGCACGATCCTCATACATGGCTAAGCTAATGGCACATCTGAAAGCCCTAGATTTTTGCACCCATCCGGCTTGCGTTGCCTGGCCAGCAGTTGCTGATGGAATGTTGGGCCCGCTGCGGCCTGCAACAACGCAGGCATCGCAAGCTTACATATCCCAATGATGACTGAGTGCAGGACGCCGAAGATGTAAAAACTGCGAGCAAGCAAACCCCCAAGCAGGGATTGATGCGTTCATCTTGGACCTGGTAGCTAAGTATCGTGCCGCCACTACATTCGGGGGCCTACAGCCAATGTGGTACGAGTGGCATCCGGCAAAGCAACACAAGCGGCCGCCACTTGCAATGAAGCAGGAACATCAATGCTGATCTAGGCACCAGTACCAACCAAAAGAACAATGTTGAACTTCATCACAAGACATTCAGACCTGCTCCATGAAGATACCACGGAAGATGAGCAGTTTGCCTCGTGAAAACGCTTGCTCAAGCCCAAGCCAAGGATGCGAAAAAAATCCAACACTGCACCCGCAAAAGCGCCACTCGGCCCTTTTACATGGGTGCATCATGTCTGCGACCAACGAAGCTCAGGGTGCTAGCTGGGGTGTTTTTGTGCAAACATGCTGTGACTTGCACAGCTGCAATGCGATCCGGGCTGCTTTCTTCACCTTTCGGTCCTCCATCTACCTGTTCACAGCAAAGGATCCCGAGAAGTCGTAGTGCCTACATGAACACCCCCCCCCCTTAAAAATGATACTGTACTTTCCATGTTCTTTTGAATTCCTTTATTCTTTACAAGTACAAACAAGCAGCAAGTTGAAAGTCCTTCACTGCAACCGGTGAGTTTTTGAAAAGTCGGGTCTCACCTGACATGATGGGCTTCGGTCAAAGAACAAAAAGATGCTGATCTCGTCATCTTGTGCATGCATCAGGCTCGCATGTCATGACACCATTCTTGGTGGCCGTATGCCTCCCCGAACCCCTTTAGATAGCCTAAACCCTAAGCCCTTAAATACCTTAAACCCTAAACCATTAAATACCCTAAACCCTAAACCGTCATTGAAAAGCAGGCGGCCTGAGCTTCAGCTTCAAGACCCCGCTCTTCAGCGAGTGGAAGAAAGACCTGGAGTTCCAGGGTGTCGTTTGGAAGGCGTCGCTTTAGAGCCGTATTTTGGGAATGCCGACCATGGCGTGCCATTTTTTAGGAATGGTAGTAGTAATAGCAATAGTAATAACAGCAACAATAGTATCCCGAATCCCAATCAACATTTCAGCAAAGCTGCCAAGCAAGAATAGGGTAAAGGGGATATTACCCCAATAATGGAGAATCAAATGGAAAAGCAAATGGAAATCAACATGAAAAACTCGGGTTTGTATATGTGGACTATAGGGATTTGGGGTGGCGCTGCGCTCAGGATGTTTGCTCACATACCTCAGAGTATAATAGTATTATAAAGTAGAAATAGTATTAACAGTTTGTCGTATGAATGCGTCGCCCGTGGAGAGCCATGCGCTACAAGTCCGCTAAGAGGCCCTGCATACCTCGCGTAGTGGCCTTACACGCATGAGAATCAATTAATCTCAAGTTGCATCGAAAAAGACACCAAAACACAGCAAAATCTTGCCGCCGCATGCTTCCGCACGCTTGGCTTGCAAGAGGTCGCCAGTGGAAACCCTTGTCTCGATGGTGCCCTGTTCCTGAAGATGAGGATCCAGGACTGGAAAAGTAGTGCGCAGATGGCAGCAGCTCTACGTCTCAATCACGTGGAGTACAACAGTTGTCACCACATCGGGCAAAGACGCATGGTGAAAGCCAACAAATCAATTAGATTAGTGTTGAGGTTGCTGCAAGCTGTCCGGATACCAGCCCCCCGTTCCCCCCGCGCCTCAATTCGCACAGGTTCACGCGCCAGAAGATGTGATAGTTACCTTGCCTCATGCGGCAAATGTAGCACATGAATCATGAACCCGCATATCCAGACCAGACGTATGATGTCTCGGTACTACTTGCGCTATATGGCTTACAGGCCGCACATACTGTCTCGCAACGGCCAGACGCTCGACTGCCATTTGTTGTCTTCTGAGACCCTTCTATACGTGACCATTTCCAATGTGACCCAAGGAAATGGACACTACGGCAGTAATTGGGGATTCTGTCGCCTAATTTTGTAGCTTCCATTTTATTTGCCATGTTCTTTTCCATGCGATTCTGCATTATTGGGGCAATCTCTCCCTGATTCCTATATAAATGTTAACTGCCAGAAAAACTATGCCAGCCCCTATGTTTTCCTCCCTCCTTTGATGAATAGCTTGGATAGAAAGGTCCAGCCCGAAGGTCCGTGCACACAAAGACTGCACATAGACTAATTTGAAGCCTTTGGGCCTTCCTCAAGCGATACGCGCGTAGTAGCTGCAGTGGGCGAGGCCCCATATTGGAGATGCACATACGTAGATTCGGAATAGAAGGTCTTTGCTGAGGCAGAGGAATTGAACTGCAAACTTCAGCACCAAGGGCAGGGCCTCAAAACCACAGCGTGATGAGGCTACTGAGTTCGGAGAAGTGGCCGACTGATCCGCTACATCGCCTATGGGCAGCCATGCGCTACGTAGCTGATAACCCATGGGCTGCGCCTTGCAGTTAACACACCTAGATGAGGCCGCCGCAAGCTTTTGCATGCTTTCCTTGCAAGATCTTTGAGACATGAACCGTTGGGGCGTGTAGCGATTACTTCTTGGAGACGCGCAGCGCATGCGTTCTCCAATCATTTCTCCGACCGACCTCGATTCCACTGCAGACCACAAGTGGGCTCTGCAGTTATCCTATCTTAGCTTCACCATCCTAACATTGCCTCCTGGTTCGATAATTGTCGCCTCGCGCCTAATGATAAGTAAGCCGCGAAAACGTGCACCATCAGACATGAAAACCAACTGGGGCTAGGGGTTCCTACTTCCAGCAACAAGGGCCCTACTTGGGTGTGGGTTAGGATCACATCCCCAAATCATCCAGGGTTTCTGCAAGTATGCCGCTGGTGGTCTAGCAAAAACGGTCGGCAATACGACAGGCAACTGACAGAAAGGAGAGCATGTTACAAAAGCACCGTTTCTCGAAGAAATTTTCTAACTGAAGCCCTATGAACACACAGGCAGGATCAGGCAAGCAAAGTCAATCTCCGTCCTCATGTTCAGCGAATCTGCTCCAATGTCACGGAAGGGCCTCAGCTAGTGCTGCGACTCAGGAGCGAGCACATGCAAAACATGGGCGATCACGAAAGCGCTTGTTGCAGGCACTTTTTCAGTTCAGGCAGCGGGAGCAGTGCGACTTGCGGCCCATTTCACAATGCCTCCTCTCGAGGCCAAGCAATCTCTGTGAGTTTACAGGACAGGGTGGCGCGGCAGTGCCCGACAGACATCATGCATTCGAAGTGTTTGGCTTGAAGGCTGCATTCAACGCTGTTTCTTCAAGCCTGCTGGGCCTGCCTCAGATCCCTTGGCAGCATCGGCACGGGCCTGCAACGCAC